GTCCCCTCACCATCCTCGCAGCCCTCCTCTGGACTCTCTCCAGTAGCTCCTCATCTTTCTTCAAGTGGGGAACCCAGAACTGGACACAGCACTGCAGATGGGGCCTCCTCAGGGCAGAGTAGAGGGGCAGGAGAACCTCCCTCGACCTGCTGGCCACACTCCTCCTAATGCATCCCAGGAGACCGTTGGCCTTCTTGGCAACAAGGAGCGTCTGCGTCCTGCTTTCACCCCAAGAGTGTTTTCCGAGTGAATGTAAGCTACTACTGGATCAGTGGTTAGAGGCAATGAAAAAATATTGAATGTAAACCTTTCTGTACTGGGTTGATTAAAATAAACAAGTTACCGGGAGCGCTGGGCCTGGTTTGGGAACAGTAGGTTTTCTGTTCCTGTGCGTAATGCAGAACGCATATGGAGCTGCTGGAGAGCTTTTTTTTGTGTGCTGTGCTTTATGTTGAGCTTTTTCGTTTTCAGTTCTCTGAGCTTTTGTGTCAGCTGGGAAGGGAGGGTGTAGGAGCAATGTGTAAAACTCTGTTTGGCCTCTTCAGTCCCAAATCCTGACAGACAGCTGGTTAAGAAGTATTTAAATGAAAGCCTGAACTTTGCCTTCTCCCTTTGGAAAGCTGAGAACCCCCTGGTTCTGATTTCAGATGCTGGTTGTTGCTCGTTTCTATGCAGTTCTTCAGCGGAACGTAGGCAAAGCGTAGTTGCTGTAGGCTTTGTGCGAGACGCCCCGTGTGAATATTCCGCCCAGGGTCGCTGAGCCGGAGCGTGTGGCTGCGGAGAGATGGCCTGGCTTGACTTGAAGGTGCAAATGTTGAATTTCTGCTGTCTTTCTCCCTATACCTACGGCGATAGAAAAATGTACCCCCAGTATTTTTAGGGGAAGGCAAATTGAGATATTTATGTGTGAAAGAGGTGTGCTAAATGTGCGTGTATCTCTGTTTAACGACAGCGGGTAGGAAGCCAGTGTGGCCAGCAGGTCGAGGGAGGTTCTCCTTCCCCTCTTCTCTGCCCTGGTGAGGCCCCATCTGCAGTGCTGTGTCCAGTTCTGGGTTCCCCACTTGAAGAAAGATGAGGAGCTACTGGAGAGAGTCCAGAGGAGGGCTATGAGGATGATGAGGGCACTGGAGCATCTCTCCTGCAAGGAGAGGCTGAGGGAGCTGGGCTTGTTCAGCCTGGAGAAGAGAAGGCTG